GGTCGACCTCTAATTCAAACCATAATACTCCAGGAACATACTGACTTAATTTCTGATGATAGCAGCCATTAGAATGTGACTCTCTATGGCAGAGAAGAAAAGCATGCAGCACAGTGCCGGAGGAAAGATCTTGCCATTGTTAGTTTGTCACTGCTGCCTGGTCGCCAGGACTCAAGGCCTTCACTTCAGGTATGATGGGCACACAAAGAGCTCATTATCGGGTCTAGGCAACATCTGCACCCCCTATAATGTTTGGAACTAGTCTGGATCAATATGATTCTTTCTCCACCGACAACTACACTTATCAACAGAGACTCATTTTTTAACCACAATCCACAGGTTATAATCCTAAATGGAGTAGTCAGTGCTGCTGCATAGAAGTTTCAGCTTGTCATTTATCAGTAAAAGACAATAATAGAGGTACAGCAAGCAGCGCAGCAGTCATTTCTTCCTCCTTTGGCAAAGCTGTGATAAATGACTTGGCGGAGGATGATTTTTCATATGATGGTTATGCTCTATAACTGTCCTCATGGGTTGATATTGCAGAGCTCGGAACAAATAAAACCTGAGGTAGTGCTCCAGAATGGGGTTCGTCAAACACCTTTGAAAATTTCAGATCTCTTCCCCAGTCAACACTGAAGAATAAAAGGAAAAGTATTACAAGTATTTATATATTGTTTCCCAAAGCAGTATTAATGCTCATGTCGGAAGGAAAGCATGCATCTTGCCGTTTTACCAGTCACTGCAAGACCAGCATAAGCTTGGTTTTTCAACTCCTGCTGAGCTATAATTCAACCGAGCAAATTATTGAAGCACCAGGGATGCTCAGTAACAAGCATCATAAACCACATTCATCACCTTAAGGGCTGGATTATTAAGGCATTCAGTACATCAGCAACTGATTTGCTGAGGCAAAAACCGTAAGAGAGCAATAATTAGCTGATGTATTAAACATGTTTCTGTCACTGATTATGGCACTAATGTGCAAAAATATTACATTGCATAGATAAATCCATCCATCCATTCATGGAATTTCGGCAATCATGGAATTCACAGCAAATTCTCAAGCACCCTCAATGACATTGTGTTTGCCCACAAGCAGAAATAAATGAAGGCATAATCACTTGGCTTCACATTATTATTTTCAACAATAATATACAAATTGGCTAATAAAAATGTCCATTTTGTGCACCAAAAAAAAAAAAAAAAAAGACATTTTGGGGTAGGGCTTTTTTTTTAATGTTTTTCATGTTCATGAATTCAATTAGAATCAAGTATTTAATAAAGCCATGAAATAATGATTATTATAGTAAGATGGATGGGCCTAAATGCTTACATGTGCTGTATAAAACTGACAATAATGGAGAACAGTTTTCAGGATAGTTCTCATTAAATTGTCAATTTTTTGAGAGTGGCTCAATATAAAGGCTACTGTGGGCACATTAACTGAAATGTAAAACAGACTCTGGAAACTGTTTGACAGCAGAAGCGTTTGCACTTACGGAATGAAAGCAACAGTATAATTGTGTTGTAATAGGAACTTTATCTGCAATAAAACAGTGACATTTATGACATGAGTAAATTAATAACAAAATAACCGTTCTGACATTACAAACATTTTGTGTCACATCCCTATTGGTGCCTCGACCAATTTGAGAACATTTTTAGAGAAATATCAGTTGATGCACCATGGGAAAACTTTAAATGAATTAGATAAAGATACAAATTTGAGTTGATCAACAGTATTGTCAACCATTTGTTTATTTATGAAGGAGAAATCAGCTATATTTATCAGCTATAAACGTGACAGCCCCTTCTGCTGCCCTTCTGTTGACTATTTTCTGTTCCCAATACAAGCCAGAATGAAAAACAAAACTGACTACATGATCTTAATTTGCAAATTTGTTTGCAATAGCAAACAAAATCCAAAAAATAAAAATAAAGGAAGGAAGAAATGACATCAAATGGCTTCTGTCCAACAGGTTTGGACTGGTACGTCTCGTTTTTCACCGGGTCTAAACTCAAGGGCAATGTGTTGCTGCTTATATATGCCTGGTAAATAAGAGATCTTATCTTCCGCTTGCGATGACATTGAAGACCCATGCTCTAATCAATAAAATCCAATTCTTTGGAGATCTGTGGCTCTGATTAGCGTCCCTCTAATCCAATCCTTGTTTTTGTCATCCATTATGGTGGCATGGTGGGTGCTATAAAGGATGTCGTTATCACTGGTTATGAGTTCAGCACTGATGTAAAGCTAGCAATGTGATTGGCCGAAAGGAGACTTCCTCTGGCTCTTCTAATTGCAAATCCACTTGGGCCCACACTGATACATTTCATCGCCTTGGCAACACTGAAGGCAGTGAACCTGGTAATAGGGGAAGTATATTCTCAGGGGAGGAAATTACTGCTTTCCATATTGTAGCTGGACAGAGCAAAAGGGAAGCAGAGAACGGTGAGCAACCTGCCCTAAAAATCTGCTGTAAATCTATTGTACAACAGATCGCAAGCTAGATAAAGAAACAAAACATTCAGTGGAATGAGCATGTGACATCCAGAACCTATTGGATGCTATTTCACATATAAAATTCAACGGTTGAGGTTCTTCATTTAGGACCACTGAACCTGACTTATATTTGTAATGATGACATGTCCTTTGAGGGCAATAGTATGATGAATCTGTGTGCAAGATACGTGAAATGCAAATGCTCAAGGCAACCCTCTACATTGCGAGTAAATCACTCGCATATGCGACTAAATCTTCACTCTGGCGACTGTATATATGTGTATGTGTGTGTGTGTGTATATGAGTGTATGTATATGTGTATATGTGTGTGTGTGTATATATGTGTGTGTATGTATGTGTGTGTATATATGTATATGTGTATGTATATATTTATCAGTCTGGCGAGTAAACAAAAAAATTTACTAGCCAATGGCGATTCAATTGCCAAGGTGTTCGTAGAGGGCTGCAAGGGTACAGAAATAGGGGCAAGAAAACATGTTGCAAAGTCTTGAGCATGTATGTACAGTATCGAGATGAAACTGAGATCAGCAAGCAGAAAATCTGTGATAAATCGGCCGGGCAGATCACCAGATGAAATCACCACCGAAACAACAAGTCACCTCATTCTTTACTGTAGACAAAAAAAAACACAGGAAAGCTGCATGGTGCAGCTTGCCAGACCAATTTCTGAGCATATTATCAATATAAAAGCAGAAATTGAGACATCTTGAGATGTTCGTTTCAGTGATTACATGCTCACTGTAGTGTCCTCTTCCTGTTTTTAGCTACAACAATCCAGCACTGACTGAATACATCCATATCAGAATATGTATTTAAATAAATCCGCTGTTAAAGGGGTCATATGATGTTGCTAAAAAGAACATTATTTTGTGTATTTGGTGTAATGAAATGCGTTTATGCGGTTTAAGGTTCAAAAAACACATTATTTTCCACATACTGTACATTATTGTTTCTCCTCTATGCCCCGCCTTTCTGAAACGCGTCGATTTTTACAAAGCTCATCGGTCTGAAAAGCAAGGTTTTAATCACATCATATGACCCCTTTAAAGTAATTTTTGTGACATAGCAAATCACATTGTTTGGCAATGCATCTACAGAATGTGACATAGTGACAAGCAAGTTTGCCTAAACTTCTCTGACTGGTACAGTCTTTAACTGATTTTAAATCATCTCTTAAAACATATTTCTTCTCTTTGGCTTTCGATTCATTGTGAGTTTATGGTATGAATCTGTGGGTTGCCCTGTGTTCTATGTCTTTGTTTGTTCAGCACTTTGGTCAGGTGTGTTTGCTGTTTTTAAATGTGCTATATAAATAAAACAAACTTGAAACTTTTCCCATATGTAGACGGGAAAATAATTTGTTGTGATTTTTCATTTTCCCATTATCAAGCCCTCAATAATTTCACAGCACAGCAATCACACAATAATGAACTTCCAGAAGCAATTAAGAGACTATTCCTGGCACGTAGCCTTCATGCGAGGCAAATGCCTATGTGGACTAATCATGGTGTGCTTCAGAGAAGCTGGTGGATTAGGTTTTTATTTTTTGTTAATACAGAAGTTGAAATCCTCTAATCAATGCACTGTCGAGTGTACCTCTTACAGTTCCTGTAATTCAGCCTAAATTGTGCTGGACATCATTGCAGCTGGCAAGCTGCCAAGGAAACATGAAATGAATGTGACAGAACTTAAAACAATACAACATCTGACTTAACAAGTAGAGGTGGGGAACAAAAAAAATCGATATGAGATATTTTTAGTTATATTTTTATTCATTTTGTTAATATTTTTAGAAAAAGAAGATTTTGGGCATTTTTTAGCATTGGTCAGTGCACACTCAATTATTTATATTCCACCAAAATCCAGACTCTGAATAAGCTAATAATACAACTGTGCAAAGCACTGAAACCCAGTGACGCCGAATAAGAAACAAGTGTGTAAAAAGAATGCAACATATCACAGTTCTGAAACACAACAGCCATAGTAACCATAAAGAATCTCAATGTTACTGTATCATGACAGATGTCAAATCAACCCAACCATGATCTTTATTTATTCATGAGAATATCACAATGAGCATCTAAATCTCTCCTGTGATGCAGACTAACTGGGAAATAACCAGCTGTAGTGTGAAGATAAATTCTGAAGCAATTTATGGAATAAAATTCTCAGACTACATAACAGTGAATACAGTTGACAAAACTTACCAACTGACCAATTAAATGTCCTTTTATCATATATATTCCTGGCTTTTTTAGATAGTGTTTTCATCATAAGATATAAAAAGCAAAATACAGAACAAAAAATTTAGAGGAGACAAAGAGGAAAAAGATCCATTAAGGATCTAACAGATAAAAGATTTAAGTGAATTTGAACTACAGATGAACCAACAGGCTTATATTGACATACATAAAATATTTCTTTAAAATAAATGATTAGGTGGACAGCAGCAGCCAGATCATATGTGTCTTACCAGTGTTATGGTCCATGTACTCTTGTGAGGTATGTTGGTTCTGATGGACCCATTCCCCATTACATTTGAAGAAGATCTGCAGGGCAGGGGTCGCACGGCAGCGCAGCTTGATAGGGTTGTTTTTGATTATGTAAGCATCCTCAGGCTCTTGCAGGAAGTGAGGTAATGTCCCACCAACTGATGACAGAGAATCAGCAAGGGCATCACTGACGGCTCCTGTGAAATCAATTAACATGTAAGAAATGAGCACACTTCTCTAGCACATTTATTCAGATTTTAATCTTAATTTTATGCCCATTTTTGGATCCTTGAACATCCCAGGAACATCATTTGCATGTGTGCCTTTGTACTTAAATTTTTTTTATGAAAAATAATGCAAACTTATCTAAACGTGGTCTGCATTTAATACAGCTTCAGGTTTGTAAATATGCTGCTTTTCCTCTGGGAATGTTCTGAGCTTCCTATTGATTTTAAACTGTGTGCCAAAGAGACAATTCCACTAAAACAATTCAAACCACCTACTTTAAAAACGCATTAGCTTTCCCTGAGTGCGTTTGTGATGAAAATAATAAAAGAATTAGCAATGGAAGAGAGTGCGATTGATTGCTTTGTGTTTGACTGATGAGCTAAAATGCATCTCAGTGCAGAAGAAAGTGAGAATGCTCTTCCTTGGGCCGAGTGTTTGTTTTATTTTTCTTTCTGCTATCATTCTTTTTAAAGAATAAAATAGCACACATACCAATAGAGATGGAGAAGAGAAATAAGACAGGGGTGTTAAGGATGGAGGGAAATTAGAAAGATTTTATTTGGAGATAATTACATGAAAGCCATTTTAATAATTGTAATTGCCTACACCATTTCTGACACTCTGGAATAAAACTCTCCACCCATGAGAGACCAGACATATATAGTGTTGAATACTAGACAGTATACATCGACCAATAATCGGTTTTACCAATATTTTCCCCAATATTTAAGCATTTTTCTATTATCCGATATAGGTTTTGTAATATCAGATTCACCGATATATGGCGCTTTGAGAATTGTGTGCAAGACCTCCATTATGGCACTGCATCTTGAAGAGAGATGAGTCAACAACAGCGTTTACAGGTAAAGTAATTTGATTTGCTTTAATTGATATGCTTTATTTAACATATCAGCCAATAATGCACAAATAAGATGTGTTACATGAATGATATGTAGTTTAAGCTTGGCATTGAGAAATAGAGACAAACTCAACTAGAGTCATGCAATCCATAAAGTTATGCACCAAAGGCCTAACTTTACATGAGTTAAATAAGACAGACTTAAACAAGTGCATGTTGGAAACAAACCAGCCTAATTTAACTCTCTCTATTGTTTATGAAATGTAATTATACTCTTGTAAAGCTGCCATTCATGAGTCCCATTCACACATGATTGACGCTCAGGCATGCTCCAGTATGGCCGCCGTTTGTAGCTTTTAACAAGATCCACTCACTCAAGACTGCCTAAATTACATTAACATTTTCTATATAACTTTTATTTCGTTAATAAGCATCCAAGTAATTACAGTTCTGTGGAAATTATCTCCACGAAAGTTCACAATTTGAATATACGTTTTGTGTAAACGCACAAATAAAACCAGTGCTCTGTCAGCAGGCATTTCATTTCATAATCAGGACAGACGAAAATACTATTAATAACCCTGATAACATGCCAGTTGAGATTGAATAAATGCACTTTATTTATTTATTATTTGTTTATTTATTTACTTGTTTATTTATCTGTTTTTCTTTCTTTCTTTCAGTTTTAGACCCCTCTATTTACTGATGTAGAAATAATGTTGTTTAGTTTGGTTTGCAAGGAGGGAGTGAAATTACAGTACTGAAAGTGTTGCAAATAAAAATGCTTGTTCAGTTCAGTACTGTTGTTAACATTGTGTCAAAATCAGAAGTAAAACAATAAATAAATATCGGTTCTGCATATCAGTTATCGACCACATAAACATGCATATAATCGGTATCGATTCTAAAAAATGTATATTCATCGATCTCATTTGAACATTGCAAAATCTGTCAGATGTGCAAAATCCCATGAAAGCCATTAAACTAGCAGCTAATTCAGCTCTGCCCACTGAAATTTAATAGACTTTTATTTATTTTTTTACCACCTCCCACATTTGCTGTCATGTGAAATGGATAAAGAATATATGCACACACACACACACACACACACACACACACACACCCAAAGCAGTACACTGCTTTTTTTGTGAAAAGCAGTTCAAACACACTCACTTCATATTCTCTTTTAATACTGTAGATACCGCAAGAGAATGTGACAGTAAAGAAGACAAAACTTTCTATTCATCAAAGATGTTTCCACCAAAATATTAAGCAGCACAATGATTTTCCACATTGATGTTAATAATAATAAGAAATGTTTCTTAAGCACCAAATCAGGATCATGTGACACTGAGGACTGGAGTAATGGCTTCTGAAAATTCAGCTTTGCCATCAAAAGAATAATTCACTAAAAAAAAAAAATAATAATAATAATAATAATAATATATAATATATTTGTAAACTCTTTTGCTTTAGACCATCTACAAATGTTGAATATTCAAATAAAATGTTAAGGATTGCTTTATAGTTTCTTTATAGTTATTTTCAAAGCTTTCAATGTACTCTCATTATAAAAGAACTTCACTGCTTATTTAATTATCAAAAGTATTTTTTGTTAAAAAACTAACCAAAATGAAAAATAATTTGCTTATAATCTCTGTACAGGAAAGGTGTTGTTTCCAAGCAAAAGGAAATATATCGGTATCAGCAACGGCTAAAGAAAACACAATATAACTTCTTACTGTATTTTGGTCAAATAAAGTCAGCATTGATGGATGCATAAAGGACTTTTTATAAACATTAAAGAATACCCCAAACTGAATCCAAAATTATTTATAACATGAAACAGTACATTTGAAAAAATCTCTAATATCAATCAATAATGCGTTCCTAGTGCAAAAAACTTTATGGAAATGAGCATCAACACAATGTGTAGACTAGTGAAGGAAGTGCAGACAGTAAAGCGCTACTTCATACAGCTGGATACTACCACATAGTCAGCTGCTATAAACCAACAGCAGATTGGCCTGGTGACCTCCAGCAATTTAACTGCCATCACTGTGCACAGCTACACTCAAGTATCATCTGTCTAGCTTGTTTGTGAAGAAATTTAGTGTTACAATTGCCCCTGGTCTCCACTACTCAACTACAATCTTTAGACAAATGCACTGTGATTAAGAGAAAAACAGAGAGCACCATACCATTTCTAGACAAGCTTTTAAGAGGGGCAAAAACTGCTGAAGAGTGGACATGTTAATGATGTATAAAACAAAACATGCCAACAGCACTTTAACCTCTAATTAAAAACCATTCATTGTTGAATGCTCTATTTCGGAGTATAGAAAAACAGCTTTGAAGAAGCATCAAAGAAAAAAATTGCATTATTCAGAGATATATTGTGTGATACCTAGTTCACGGTGAAGTGCATTATATTTCATGATATAGTTATTAATATATGTAGTTATTCTGAAAGTCGACAAAAGGGCTTTATATAATAAATAAACTCAAATACTTCAGAAATGAAAAGTAGTTACTTCACCTTGTTTGATTTTCTTTTCCTTTTATTTGGTAAATTATTTATTTGGTAAAAACACACTCAACTTTTAGATTAACTGCCCCAACTAGGGATGCACCGAATGTTCGGCAACCGAAATTATTCGCCCGAAAATGGCAAAAAAAGCTCTTTCGGTGTTCGGCCGAATAAGCGAAAAGACAGAATAAATTGTACCGAACAATGATATGACGCGATCAAATAGCAACCAGCGAAGAGTGAGAGGCGCGCACTCTTTAATGCAGCAAACATGTCAGCAGTGTGGAAGCATTTAAAACCGTCCGAGAAAGATGCAAAAATCATTACAAGCACCGACAGCGAGAGACTGTTTCCTACTGCAGAGCATGTCTTCGATGAGAAGAGGAAGGGGTGATTGTTGCTGGTTTACTGCATGATGATTGAAATCGTGAAATGGCTTTAATCAATTAGTAAATAAACTGCAGAACGTTATGTTTTCTAATATACGCACGCATTGCATGTATTCTGACAGCGCTGCACGAACTCGCCGCGCTATCTGCTTGTTAACCAGGGTTCAAAGTCCAAAGTGCGAGGAAAATCTGCGCTCATTCATTGCTCAGTCACATTTTTATTAATTTTTACAAGGCATGTGACAATGCGATACGTACGACATATTTGTAATGGGAAAAAAAAATATAATTTTACGAACTTATTCATTTTCAGCTAAATTGTGCTTTGTTGGTAATAGTGTCTGCTAGAATGTTAAAAATGTTCAGTGTTAAATATTTGTAAATTGTTATTTTGTAACTGATTTTTTTCTTTGAAAAGCAAGATAAAACAGTAAAAAGCACATTTTGGCTATTTAATTTATGCAATGGTGAAAAAAAATTTGGCTAAATACATGGGGGAAAAAACTCGAAAAACTGTATTCGGCCCAGTGTTTCATTTTGTTCGGCTTCGGCCAAGAATTTTCATTTCGGTGCATCCCTAGCCCCAACTGACTGATATTAAACTTGATTATTAAACTTTAAATAAGGTGTTTCTGAATTATTTTTAAATCCCATGTTATTGTTTTACTTCAATCAGTTTGTAACATCTAAATATGTTATATTGAAATATTCTATTCATAATAAATTTAACATTTACTTCCTTTTCATTTTGTAGGACATTATTAATACTTTATATTGTTTACATTTGTGCCCAGGTACAGTTTTGCCATGTCTGCTTATTATACTATGTTTTTAAGGGGCTTGTTTTGCTCTTTTTGTGATAACTGGCAACCCTTCACCTAGAGCTTTAATCAAGAGAGGGAAGAGCTCAGTAGTGACTAGAAGGAGAGTAGCAGTATGCAAACTGAACAGCAGCTACTGTTAGTGCTGACTAAGTAGTTTAAATTATACACACCCTATAACTGTGTCATTATTTGACTCCAGCCCAGTGAAGACTAGGGCTGTCAAAAAAAATTTTGAATTTCGAATAATCGTCGAATTTAAAATAAAAATCCAAATTCAAATGCAAAAATGTTGCATTCGAATTTTAGGTGTGCGTTAAGGAGGCAGCCTTATCAGTGGCGCACGAGACGCGAAGACGATGTAAGTGTC